TCTGAGCTGGATGTTTCGGTTGTGGAGCTTTCATTGTTCTTCTGAACAGCATCATCAGCACAAGCTTCAGATAGAATTGAAGTATTCGAATTTCTCCACGTTTGACCCGTAGCTTGTTCTGTTAACTTCGATCTTGATTGGTTGCTACTGAACTTCAAACTGTCGTTGTTTGCCTATGATTTTTTTGATTCGTAGGCAAACATAGGATTATGAAACAGATCAAAAGGGGAATACAAACAAAACAAAGGTGCAAACAACGACAGTTTGAAGTTCAGTAGCAACCAATCAAGATCGAAGTTAACAGAACAAGCTACAGGTCAAACGTGGAGAAATTCGAATACTTCAATTCTATCTGAAGCTTGTGCTGATGATGCTGTTCAGAAGAAAAATGAAAGCTTCACAACCAAAATATCCAGCTCAGAGAACGAAACACCACCATAATCATCCACCTCAGCTACAAAGTTTCTGCACTGGTTACTAAGTATTGGTACGCTGATGAATATCATGTACTAAATTGCCAAATCAGAATTTCGATAATTACTTCTGGCACCCATTATTTCCTGCGTAACTTAATTTCTTAGACTTAACCATTTTACGCCTGACCTGCTCAGTCACCCCTTCAGCTAATACATCGTGAGTTCCTACTGGTTCGCTACTACAATAGTTGACTCAGAAAAGAAGTCAGCAGCCAGCTTTTATTTTATTATATTTCAAACACACAGCTTTATATACAGGGACATTAGACTACATCACACCTTAAACTGAAAAATCAGTTATACACAAGAATAAACTGTGAATAGGACAAGCTGTGAGTGACTAATTAGCAATAAAATAGGGATAATAAATAGTATAATAATAGTTATTGGATTCGATGAAAGCTTACGATAGACAGAAGATATAAACATGGTATTCCGATTAGCAGCATAAGAATATATATATCCACCAAGTAGTTCCCGGACTTACCGTTTTCCCAATCTTCGTTCTGGTCCATCGGTGGTAAAGGTATGTATTTCGACAGTATTTTTCGTGAATAGTCGTGGTCGATTCTTCAATGAAATCTTAGGCACTCACAGACAGCCTGTAGTTTTCAACACAGGTATATCATGTTCTCCCGATTATCAAGAGCCAAGAAAAATAATCATTTCAAGATTCTTCCAAACAAATGTACAAGCAGTTTAGTGTATGCCAACGTTAACTTTTAGTTTCCTATATTAGCACACCAAAATTAAAGTTTACCTGTATTTTTCTTGTTGCGTCGATCATTTTGTCTTTGACACAACTTGACGACTATAGTGAAATATGAACCTTATTAACAAATCACCTTGCTGGGTGGCTCGGTAATCCGTTCAGGGCGCCAGGTCTAGCTGGGAAGGCCCGTTTGCCGATTGTGGATTGTTTGGAGGGGTCTTGTTGATTCATAAGTGCCCTAACAAGGGCCACTGCTCGTGTGCGTGCTTTTTGGATGTCCACTTGTCTGCAGACCAATCTAGACAACATGTACGTTCCCGTATAGGGGGCAGGGGTGATCGCAATATTAGCTATTGTGACAATCCTTGTGTTGCTTAAAATGCAGCAGCGTGCATGTGCAGCAGGCATGCTGGTTAACCAAGAACCTTATGATAAAATAGTGGAATTACTCACGCTTATCACCCCTAATGTAGCATAAGCCGCTTACCAGCATTCTCCAACTAACTCTATCATGGGCCTTTTTGATTATTCATAAATATTTGTACGCGATCGACAGTCCGAGATTTCGATAAGACGATCTCATACATAAGAGGTCGTTGTTTAATATTATATCGTGAATCATGAAAAGTTCTAATGCCGTTGAGGAGTTTTAACCAAAGTAAGAAATCGATGCATTTTTGGAATATCAAGCAAACTAGAAATAGGAATATGGTTAACTCATTTTTATTGTGCGTCAAAACTGAGGACATGAACCTACATTTAGGGCATTTCTTATTTATTAGTCTTACTTGATATCAGTGAAACGATACTCTCTATGAACACTGGTACAGGTTTCGGTTATATACGGAAAATAAAACGCTACCTTTTACTAATAAATTGTATTCTGAGTGATAAATATTACGAAAACGCCTGTATATAACCTGGAACATATCCATAAGCTTCGAAGAACAAAAGCACGTATACCTCTAGCAATCACATTTACAGCTGCCGCTAAGATGCAACAAATCCTGCAGTAAATTATTCTGATCCATTTTGCTACACAAATTGCTAATTGGGTCCGACCACAGACCAACGCATAATAATGACTGGTTGGGAGTATAATCAAGTATTAAACGTATTTCGGACACTACATATTAGTAACATACGAGTTCACGAAAGCGGATAGTATCAAACTATTTCTCGCATTGTGGATATTAGCTATTTCATTTGAGTAAGATTAAGCTGTAGACAGTGTTAACTGAGCTTGCCGGTTACTACGATTTACTTCCTGATTTTTGCTCCGGACTCACTGGATGTAGCAAAACAGTAGTTGCCCTGGATAAGGTATTGATCCTGTGTTTGGTATGATGTGATTCTAGTCGCTTTATAGCTTGCCGATCAAGTATCCAGTCATGTTAATCGACCTAAAGGCGGCGTTTGACTCTGTTGACGTGAGGTTCTGTAGCAGTATGTCACTGAACAGGCTCAGTTCGAACACTGATAGAGGAATCAGAGCTTATGACAAACTGTCATCCGAGCTGGTTACTTCAAGTGTTGTTCGATTGGATTGTCCACCTTTGTCACTCATATTTAGGTTTGTCATTAACATGATTTTAGAGACGACACATTCACTGTCTGACTTGTCAGTAGTTGACCTACGAGTAGATACACTGGTCGACCTAGAATAGGCCGATGACATAGTTCTACTTCATGAAGACACTGTAAAAATACAGAATCTTCTGGCTACCCTAAGTAACAATGCAAGCAAGAGCCGGATGCGATTCTCCCGGTCGAAATGCAAAATGTTGCTTCAGGATTGACTTGCGTCGGCACCTCAACTAGTGATAAGGAGTGAAGCAGTTGAGCGTGTCGACCGCCTCACCTATCTTGGGATTTTCATCAGTGCTGATGGCCTGGTGACTGACGAAATCTCAGTACGGATACAGAAGGTTCGCCAACCTGCGTCACTTGTGGCGAAGGCGAGATATCCGTCTACTAAACAAAGAACGAGTCTACTGCGCAGTAATTCGCTCTGTCCAATTTTATGGCTGTGAAACATGCCAGTAAGAGTAGAGGACATCCGTTGGTTGCTTGTTTTCGATCATAGGTGTCTTCAAAGCATTTCTCGTATATCCTTAGATAACCGAGTAAGCAATGCTGTCGTTAGGAAACGAGTACTAGGTAGGAATGGCAGATCAATTGATGAAGTAGTGAAACTTCATCAGTTGAGGTGGTTGGGACATGTGTTACGAATGCCTAACAACCAACTGCCTCGACGAGCTATGTTTTGTGGTGTAGGAGTAGGTTGGAAGAAAGCTAGGGGCGGCCAAACCAAAAGATGGCACAAATCCATGAAGTCACTGACAGGTGGACTGAGTCATGTTGGTAGGTGAACAGTACCTGGTTGGGGTCCGCGAGACGAGTAAGAGTCTTAGAATAACATGGCTCAATATCGTTTACAATGGCATCCACTCTTTTTGTTTTCTCAAATTGTAAACTTTTTAATTCTTCATTACCTCTGCTTCTCGCTATTTAGATTTATTTCACTTATTTATACTCTTCCAACCTTAACCTTATCCATTATCGCTAATTGTTCTGCTATGGGATTTGAACTGACATTTCTGTCTCTGTGCTAATTTGGTATGGCAACTTGGACTAGTGTACGTACGTACCAGGTTCTACGTTTTAACTGACTGAGTGTCCAGTTTAGTTGTATGAAAATCTCGGTTACTAGCTATACTGAAGTAGGAAACCGTTAATATCCTCTCGTTATTGCACTGTGTTATTAAATCCTTCATTTTAATTCGGTAGTTACTTGTATTATCCAGCTGAACTCGTGTGATATTCTATTCAAAGAAACAGCTATAATGGGCATACGCATGAAGTCATCATCTCGTTATGAGAAGTGAAAATATATCTTTTTTCAGGATGGCATTGTTTGGGGAAGGGCTGGACAACTGTTTTATCTAAGTTTAGAACACTACAGAATTATGTACCCATTATTTCATTCAAATCTTTGAGCGAACAAAATCAGTCAGTGATTAGGGATCGACATTGGATGACGACCGTGGCATACTAGAAAATTGACTTTAGTGAGGCTTATATATCAACTCGATAAGTGCATCAGAATTTCAATGAATCTATAAACATGCAAATTCTGTCTCACTCCATAATACTCGTTAATTGCGTGCTCCAAAAGACATTAGCGAAATCTTGTTATGCAAACGGGTTTGGATGTATTTGTAAATAGTCTTTCAGAGACTTAGAGATCTGTGTAATTTAGTCCCACGTAGATTTCCACAATGTTTCGGCTGCATTTATTAATTTGCGACATATATCAGCTTGGTGTAATTATAGGCGTATAAGATTCTATGAAATAATTCAACATTTATTTCAAAAAGTCTAACAGATCGGAGGCGCAAAGATGAATATTCGCATTACTTTGGTGCTTCATCATCTATTCTCTCTTCACCTTTTTGCTAGTTGGTTTATTAATGCTAGATTCTCTACTGCACAGCATCAAAATAATTCTAAACCAAATATCTGTCGATTGTATAAAAGTAATCTGAGTGCAGTGCTTTAAAAATGTCCATTTAGTCAGGCCTTGAAGTATTATGCACAGACTTAATCTGTAATTGCGATATCATGGCGACAATGTTCGCCAAACAAATTCATAATTGTAATATAGTAAGTAAAAGAGATTCCCGAAAAATGTGCTCACTCTGTATCGGGAATAAATACATCAGTATCTTATTATTCACATCATCTACATCAAAGACTGATAAGGTATGCAGATGAACATAATATAATTATATTAAAGAAGATTTGTTAAACCTCACTCACAAAGAGACAATTTACAAACCAATACGATAACAAGTTGCTATATGAACGCTAAAGAACACTGTTAGAATAGGAACTTATATTACATCTTATGTACAGTATTATGTTACAAGTATTTACCTTTATTATTTAAAATCGAATTACATTTTCATATGTCCACAACCTTTCCCACGACGTGTTCTTACACTGGTTGCTAAATTTAGTCTGGCTTTACGTTTATTTGGACATTTGACTGATTCATCAACAATATCTGAAGCTGTCGAAACATTCGAAACTAAATCACTACATTTGGAATGTAGGAAACTGTGCAGTTTAGCCGCGCATTCACTAAGAATTAACAATTGGACAAACAGATTAAATTGAAATTGAACAGCATAAATTATTATTGAAACAGAAAATTTTATAGAACTAATCTTGATCAACAGTTCAAAAGTAAGCAAATGAACATCATTAAATTAAAACATAGTAAGAATTTATTTTCGAATTATAGTTAATTGAATCGATGAACACTGAAACACAGAAAATCCATTTCAATAAAGTTGCACTAAGTTAATTACGATGAATTAGTTTTGCATAAACCTTTACTGCTATTGTGGTGCTGTGGTGCGAACTACTTATAAGTAGTATATAGCGTGAGTGTCAACGTAAAGTCTGGTAGCATAATATGGTGGGAAGATCAAGAAAGGAAGAGTCAGAAAACAATGGAATTTGTATGAAACGCATGAAGAGTGACAATGGATTGATGTTTGGCAACAGGAACAGTCCAGTTCCATAGGATGAATTGATCTTTTGCAAATGAACGATTTACGATATGGTTTTCCGATTTTACTGAGTAACTCTGTAATTTTCGTTAAATACAATTCGGTTGCCTCCACCTGTGTTCTCATTCACTACATTTGGTGTCGCTGCCTGCTCGAAGGAAGGGGCTCCCGTGGCCGAAGGAGTTGCAGGACGGAGATTGGCGGAGCTTCCTGGAGGAGTTTGGGGCCACGGTGGAGCTGGTGGGGGCTTGGGGCGGAGTTGACGGTGCTGGGGACGCTGTGGGGAGGTGAGGCGAAGGCGGTGCACGACAGCCTGGACGGTGCCATCAAGGAGACGGCGTGGGAGACGGTCACCGGGCGGCTGATAATGGAGTTCGACAGCCCAGCGGACAGGGAGGAGGCGCCGCAGAGGTTCCGGTTGGCGCGGCTGTCGGCCGATGGTGACCTGTTGGTGCTTGCTGTGGAGCTCACCGGATTGCGCCGTGAGGAGTGGACGGGGCACAGTTTTTGGCGTCGCAATTTATCGAGTGTGTGCCTGCCGCCGTGTTCCAGCATCGGGAACTTGTAAACGCTACACGTTGGATAGATGCCGTATCCATTCCAGACCAGTGATCAAGAACGATGACCGAAGTGGTAATCCGGCATATTGTAGCGTGTCACCGAATACGGAAGGTGATATTGACTGACCAGGGGCTCTGTTTTGAAGGACTACGACGACAGCTTATTAAAAGGGGGGACGAGTGTGGTGCTGTGGTGCGAACTACTTATAAGTAGTATATAGCGTGAGTGTCAACGTAAAGTCTGGTAGCATAATATGGTGGGAAGATCAAGAAAGGAAGAGTCAGAAAACAATGGAATTTGTATGAAACGCATGAAGAGTGACAATGGATTGATGTTTGGCAACAGGAACAGTCCAGTTCCATAGGATGAATTGATCTTTTGCAAATGAACGATTTACGATATGGTTTTCCGATTTTACTGACTAACTCTGTAATTTTCGTCAAATACAATTCGGTTGCCTCCACCTGTGTTCTCATTCACTACACTATAAATGAAAATTTAAGATTGTTGAAAATGATATCACCGAAGGAATTTGAATATGATGATCATTACAGATTCGTACTGATCGTTTACGAATCAACAACAAACATGGCCGCCGCTACCTACAGAACGATATATCGCACTGAGCATGAATTTGTTATGACGAAACGCATGTTAGAGAAGTTATGACTGGTTTTTCAAATTATTATTAGTTATAATTCTGTTGTATAATTACTGAGCAACTAGATTACTACACTACTACATATTCCGTTTATCATAAGCGTTCGTTTAACTACTGTTTTTAATTTACTCCCAATTTATCATCTAGGCTTTTCAAGTTCCAATCGCTTTCTGGTTTGACCATGTATAATTATTTTTTTTTAATTTATGCTGTGATTTCTAGTCTATTTGTACATAAACTGCTACAGACATAGTGCAAGCTGGTTCGGATTTCTGGACTGAAGAGCAGGGCGTGGAAAGGGGTTGGCAAATAACGGACTATCAGGGACTGTCGACTCAAGGTCAGTCGTTCTACTTGGGCGTGTTATGGGTCGATTTCGAGACACTACGCTGTCAAAGTAATAGTAGATGCCAAAACGATCAAATTAAGATTACAATTCTGATTGGTAGCTTGGCACGTGATACTGGTCCATGGAATACAACTTGTGGCACAACTGACGTAATTAATGAATTTTTCTATATGGAGAATATTTTGAAAAAGCGAACAATCAGGCACAGAAAATGGATATACCTGCTATCTAAAATTTCTGTTAACCTTTCCATACTGCAGTCAACCAAATCGTATAACGAAGAGACGTGACTCATTATGCGCCGATAATTTTTCCATGATATACCAGGTAATTTCAATAGCATATCAACAGCTTCAACATTATGATCCTCTAAATGATCACCATCCTGAAAGAGTAAAGCATGAATGCAATGAAAATATACTGGATACTGATATGCGTGTGTGAATTGCTAAGAAACAGTGTTTTGAGTTAATGTGTTTAGATTTTCGATGAACGTCACGATCATCAATTACGCAGGGGAAAACGCATACCTGAGGAAGTTTTTCAACAGTTGGTTCCGGTCGACCAAGTTTGATCTCTGCAAACAATTCAGCAGTACAATATGGGGTCATACTCCAAAATATTCTCAAATTAGGGAAGTGAATAGTGAGCAAAACAAGTTTAGATAAAAGATGACGGGAATTGAATTCTGAACTTGGGTTAATTGCATGTCGCCCAGTATACAAGGAAAACCCAACTACTTCGTTCCCATGAAATCCTCTTGTACTTGCATGATTTAGACTACAAACTATATTAGAACAGAAAATTAATGTAAGAAGATACTATTGGATTATTCAAAAAATTATAAGAACTAGGTAGATTCAACGACATACTCACATAAAAGTTCATACTAAAAATCGCAAGTCGCACATTTTTACGACGGTGGGTCTGAATTTCTTTCACTAAACATTCTGTAATTATCATAATACATAGTAGTACCTAAGTAGTGTTGTGGATTATTACTTCATTCAATCAGTTTAAAATCAATAGATTACAGATAGCAAACACGATTCATGTGCCGAGGTTTAAGAATTGAGATAACTTTTACCAAATGCCGTGCAATTCACATATTGTACGCAGGAATAACTACTCAATATTAAAGGCATGTTTTGAAGAGGGAAAAGAAGAAAGATTTTTATCACGGTAATCGCCAAACACTGAAACGATACAGAATATCAGATAAATTAATCAGAATAAAACAATGATCCTGTCCATGTTTTCAGGAGCTCAATAAGTTAGTTTGACCATTCATAAGTCGAAAGATAAGAGTTACTAACTAATTATATAGGATTATTGCATCAGGATGATAAAATAGCAAATACATTAGTGTAATGATAAGGAGTCACTAGTGGAGGCAAAAAAGATATGCAGCTCTTAACAGTTTCCAGAAACTTTGCAATCGGTACGGTCAATCGGAAATATTGACCAAAACAGTGGAACTTAAGCCACTGACTAAATTTCAGTCTGTATAACCAACCAACTATAGGTCTTCACATAATAAGCGTCATTGCGAAATCTAGTAAATAGACAGACACTAAGTTATTCTGCTGTCAGAATAGCTAAAACACATAATGATTACCTTTGTTAGGCATAGAAAATTCAATAAGGAGAACTGGATTTGCATAATGACGTGACATTGCAGTAGCTTGATGAAATAGTCGTCCAGAGTTAAGAGAGCCGATAAGATCGCTGACAGATTTCCTTTCAACACATAAATGCGGAGCAAGAATATAATCTGCAATGCTTAAAGTCATAGGTTCTACCTAGTTGTATATACAAAAGTAAACAAATAGGATAACTTGGGTCCATTCATTTCCTTCAGAAAGAATAAATCAAACGATTATGTTAGATCAATAAATATGAGTGCAAAAACTAATACTTCGAGATAGTCCTAGTTCAATGACAAATAATCGCTTTATAGAAAAGATTTCGTGAAATAATAATATAAATAATTCCAGTTGCATTTGGAACGTGCAAATCCAATTTCACAAAATAATAGAAATTCAGTAACGGAAAATTATAAAGGACTCAAATTGCTTTCAATCAGTTGTCACATGTACAGCAAAAGCTCGGTCGTTATATGGTATGAAATATGTCACAAAATTTGTCTGAAACCACGTAAATTAAGTATTTTTGATGTTTTCTTACTTCTCATAGAAAAAACGCTTATACGAAAAATTCTAAACAAAACATTTTTTATATCTTAGAGAATCGGTATTTAGAGGTTGTGCATATATATGGTTAGTGTGTAATCATTTTACTATCTCCCAGCGTAACTAACAAGTAATGCGAAGATGATTGTATGTCAGAGTCAAACTGCTGACTATTATAAGTGGAAATTGAGTAATATACAAATTAATTTCAAATCCTTCTTGAGTTTTTGATTTTATTAGTGAATAGCTAGTTACTTCGTCCATCACATTCTGAAACTTTCAGTGAATATTTAGTAATGACTTACATACTCAAACTTGTTTTTAAATCAGTAATTTGGCAATTCTGAATTCGTAACTATTTAGCCATAAGCTGACATGGAACAATCTTGGATTTACGAATACTTAAATATTCAGTGATGACGATTCGCTAATGAGACCTACTACTTAGAACTTGCACTGGTGATGGCAACTTTCTATACGAAATCAGATAAAAGCCATGCAACACAAATAACAGAACTAAACCAAGTGTGAAATAAAGGTAGATTTCTTACTTTTAATCCTTTTCTGTGTAAAAGCGCAGGTAACTCACTGCGAAATTCACGCATATCTACGATCACACGAGATACTGCTTGATTATTGTCTGGGTTTAGTTTTCCATACGGTATTGTTGCATCTTTTGGTATAACGATAGTGCTACTTAGTTGAATAAGCGATTCAAACGCTTCTTTTTCCTTCAAAAGCAAGAAAAAATTATGCATATAGTTTAATTTCTTATTGTTCAGTCATTCAGGTATAATTTTTAATACACATAATAAAGGGGTCTGAAACATGGCTGGTGACTATAGAATAGAATGAGAGGGACTTATCATAAAAAATTTAAAATCGAGTTGCAGAAATTTGACTGATATCATCTTCCAAGAAAACAAGTAAGTTAAACACATCGTAGTAACCACATGGTAAAAAATATTGCTCTAAATTTGAAAATAAGGTATTTCAGTTGAAATTGCAAAGAGTTTCCGGTCTCTGTTTATGTACACTACAGTGAAACTGAATTGAATAGGAGGCATTCTGGAGAGGTGAGAATTGAGAATAAGTGAAAGGCAACCTCGAACGCTACGGCTCGAACATTAGGATGCATCACAAACCTAAAGGTGGACGTGACAGCAGTGTTCAGAATGTACGTCTGCTATAACAAATCGTGAGGTAATGTATGGATAAAAAGGTTTAATCATTACTCAGCATATATATATATATATATATATATATATATATATATATATATATGAATAACAGCACATGAGATAATGCAATTAGTCAGGAAGTGATACCATTCATATCATATCAAGATACCTTCAAACACTTCAATACATACTTTTCGGCTAGAGGAATTTATATTATGCAATATATAAGAGAAAATGTTTTTCAGTGATTGAATAGACCAGTTAATTTTACTGATAATATTGTTTTTCTTTACACTGATGTATTTTACCACACTATTTTCTTATCTATAATATTTAAACAACCATTTGCGATCAAATCGGTTACCGTTAGATGCCCTGATCAGCAGATCAAAGTTCTCTCAGTTTCAGGATTTTGACCATATTCATACTCAATATTATTTTGAAAGTCATTTAATCCTTTACTGTACGAAAGGAACAATCAAAGTAGGAAAAATCAAGTTTACATGTAGCTTCGCAACTAGACATGTTACACAGTTAAGTGCATGAAGAAGGACTGTTAGATCTTATGATGTGCTTTTATCTAAATGGAAGGTACATTGCATGTTTTAAAAATTCATTTTACTGTGAAAAGTCACTAGTGATATCTTGCTATATCGAGTGTACTCCCAGGCACCTTAACCAACGAATGAGTGAACATCTCCCAGCATGGTTTATGAAGGGCCAGTTAAAAACAATACGCAGTTCTATCTTAGCACACCTGGTCGATAGTGGTCATATTGTAGATAAGTCTAGATCTTTTCGAGTGATCTATCGTATACCTCCATCATTTCCCAACGGAGTTCGATCCCGCCTCCTACACATAGCAGAAGCCATAGGAATTCGTACATTCAACCATAATTTATGTGCTTCGAAGAAATTCGTGACACTCCTATCTCTTCCGTGGCCGGATATGACATCACTAACGTTAAAATTTCTTTTGTTTAAATTTTATTTTGTTAATATTAGCATTATTTTCACATCCTGTATTGGTTGGTAATTCTCTGCTTCTTCCCGTTTACATTCTTCACTATATAATTATGTAAAAACTTCTTATTACGCAATGGTTTTAATGTTTTGTAATGATCATTTTAAGTCTATTTTTCCACGTTTGACCTACTGTTGATAAAACTTTTGTTATCGTATTTTATTTGTCTTACTACTATCAGTACACCTGTCTTCCTATTATCAACTTGTACTTTTGCCTATTATGTGTAGTGACGTAATCTATTTCATTTCATTGTGATCACTGACTCAAATTGCCTTGATTGGTTTAACATTTCCATATAAATATCCATGTATATTAGAGTAAAGCCTGATGACGATCTAATCGAAAACAATATTGTTCGCTTATACATGTTGTTCTAATTTGCACATTGGGAATCTTTAGTACAAAATTAATAAACATGTACACACCTATAATAAAAAATAGTTCACTTGAAAATCAACGTACTTTTCGTAAACTTGTTAAATATCGTTGTTCTTCAACAGAATTTTCATACAGTACAAAATATATTTTCAATGAAGGAAACGGACTCTCAAACTCTCCAACCATATTTGAAGATTCATTTTTCGAGAAGTGCTGAATAACACGACGTGCATTGTACACTTCTAATTCTCTGACCCACGATACTTTAGGTTCATATAGTATCACATAAATAGGTTGGAGTATATCTAGAACATATGATAACCGATAACCGTATTGTTGTACAAATAAATCAGACTCATCTTGGTTATCTTTTGTTGCTCCAGAAAACTGACCATTTTCATCACCTGAAAATGTTGGTGCTGCACGTATAATAACTCTATGTGAATTAGACATCTTTGTATTGGATGACATCAATAAACTAGGATGAATGCTAATTTCATGACATCCTAATGGCAAATGATTAGTGTTGTCGGTGATTTTCTCAGTATTTTCTATATTACAATCTTCATCTGATGAAGATGAACTGTCATTATCATCTTCACACAATTCATTAAATTTATTCTGTTTGTAAATTTGTGTTAGAGTAGTTACGGATGATTCTTCCGAAGATTTTGGATTCCTCGATTTAGGAGGCTATTTTGTAGTTTTTTTTATTAAGAGAAATCAAGAGAGAAGAAACCAAGTAATTGAAATGATAATTTACAGGGACTTAAACAAACTGAGAAATAAAATAAGAACAATTGTAAATGTTAGCCAAAAAAGTAAACGATGAACAAACACTGAATCTCATATAAACATTATCACTGATACTTTGTGTTACGATATGTAATGTCCCAAACCTGAATGTGATGGGCACCAACTACAGCCCCACGCTCAAACGAGCAGCTACCTGAACGAAAAGCAAGAACGGAAGTCTGTTTGGCTATTGAACAATATGTACAAATCTCCTTAAAAATAAATCCATTTCTTGAGTAATAATGTGAATTCATTCTTTAAGACATTGCTGATTGGTCACTTTTGATTCGCGTACTATATCAGTTTGTTGGGATTAGTTCAATTTGAAGATAGCTTTTAATACCTATATCAACATTGACTGGAAAACTGTTGAAAGCCATCATGGATCATTGTAGGAGTGTCTCGCTTTTTGTTTGAATCTTCAGAAACTTATAGTCGTAACATAATTGCTATATTAAAACAACCAGTTCTTCAGGTTAGAATTTGTGCAACTCAATCGGGCCAATGCACTATAAACAAATGAAAACAAAAGCATAACCATGTTTTCTGGTCTTAGGAACAATTTGCGAAATTTCTAATTAGGTATAATTTTAAAGTTGCGATTCTAATCTTATATTTACCAAAAAACACAGCATTTCAAATCCTGATTAGGTAGTGATCCGTATCGTTTTGTTTATTCTTTAATGTTAACCAAATCTTACTCTGTGGTACACCCTACTTGACACTATCTATTAGTCATCGGTAAGACGTTTTTGTAATCAGAGAGTAATGGGTAGCAATAAGTGGATAACCAAAATACATGGCTTTCTGCTATCCGTTTCCAATTATCCAGAAGACTAAATCAAACGAAGGAACAAAATACACATGTACATGAAGTTAATGCTGATGATCTTATCCAAAATGATAATGAACTGTACAATAAAACCACCGAATTCAGAGCACTCAACAATACCGAAAGCATTCAACTAAGTCGTAAATCAGCATTATTATATACATATCATCATCAACAGCAACGTAGAACTTTGTATGTACGTACATCAGTTCAAGTTGTCATATATATATATATATATATATATATATATATATATATATATATATATATATATTGTATACTGAATATATTACCTTCTGTACTCTTTTATGTGGCTGTAATTCGGGTAAATCTGAATTTTGAACAAGAAATTTCTTAACAGAACGCATTCCACGTCGTAAATAACGTCCAAGGCATCTTGCCGTATTTTCCCGACTGACCAGGATTAATATGGTACTATTTAATGTTCGATCAGTTGCCTTGGTACAGATTTCTTTTAATAGTTCAACAAGCGCTATCCATTTTGGACTAATCTCAACATTTAGTAATTCTATAAAAATATAAGTTAAGAAGAGACGGACTGAAAAAATTATATCCTATGACGGTTTTTGCTACGATATAAAAAAGTAATTTGATCTTCCCTCAATTATACTGTGAATTACTAGACTTTGCATGAAATTTAAAACAGAAAGAGGTGAACTATTGAAAAGTTGTTTGAAAACTACAGCTTTCTGGTTGAAATAGCACAGCCAGTAGACTGACTTAACAGGACCTAATCAATCGACCAATCAATGAACAGTAACGCAGAACTTCGTACACTGGTACATCAATTAAAGTTGCCATACTACATTAGCAGAGATATCTAATTGCCAATCCAAATCCCATAGTGGTGGAGACAGTAGAAGTACTACTGATAATCGAGAAGGTTAGGGTTCCATGATATTATTCAAGAAGTATAGTTCAGTGAGATAACTTTGGGAAGGGAAAGTTAGAGGTGATGACGAATTTAGAAGGTTTTGATTTGAGAGAACAAAAAGAATGAATGCACATGCACCAGTGCAAAGGATTTTGAGCCATGTCATCCAGGGTCTCTATTAATCGATTATTATCATCTCGCGGGCCCAAACCAGGTAGCCTACATCTACGAACATGACTCAGTCCACTTGTTAGTGACTACATGTCTTTCCTAAGTCCAGTTAGATGCAAACGTATGCGCGCGCACTAGGGCATGATCTGAATCTAAACATGTCCCCCAGAACGAGCGACAGTCCTCTATCGAACCTCTCCGTCGGTGGCTGATGGCAATGTGATTTGGTTGGGTCCAACGTTGAGACGACTTTGGGGGAAGCCAGGTCAAAAGAAGTTTTTCCTTATTCTTAAAGTTGGTGTTTGCTAGAAATAGGTGGTAATCTGAGCATAGTTACAGCAGACGATCGCCATTATCTGTTCTTCGAGCCGTGATACCATAAGATCCACCCAGGTGCCTTTCCTTTTCACTTAGTCTTCCTACTTGAACAGTGAATTCACCAGCCATTATTACTACATCAGAGTGCCTAACGTTTTGGAGGAGGCCCGAAAGCTTTCTGTAAAACTCATCTTTCACCTCGTCTGAACTGCTATCAGTGGGAGCGTAACCAGATACGACGAAGAGGTAACGGCGAGTGTCCCTATCTTTCCGAGTCCTTACTGTCCCGTTCAGTCGGACAGCGCACAAGCGACTATCTACTGGGATCCAGTCTAGGAGAGCTAGTTCTGCCCTCTTACTCGATGCTATACCTACACCAGTGAGACCCCGGGAAGCAGTATCAGGGCTACTGGATATGCGAAGAGTAAATTTGGCTGCTTCTTTGTTTTGACAAGGTGAAACCAAATTGATGATTTCAATAGCATCCTGTATGCGCGTTTCGGAGACACAGCATACATCGAGGGCGCGAGATTCCAAAGTCCTAGCTAAGGAAGCCTGTTGCTTTATTTGACACAATGTCCGGACATTAAATGCTACAACATGTAGTCGAGAACGAGGTTTCAAGAGACCAGGAATAACGTTTCGTGAACTCGCATCGTTTGCATCAGCTATACAGAATGATAAGGGAATGTGAGAAGAGATAGTCGTGAAGATAAGAGAAATGTTAGGTGATGTAGGAAGAATTTGTTTGTAATCAATTTTGTCTCGCGTGCTGTTACGAGTATGAGGGTGGTTGTCACTTCCCGGCTGCCCACACCGTGGAAGGTTGTTTCTTAAGGAACCTGAAAAGGAACCTCTTTGTTTTCTCCCAAATTCCAATTTTCTGAGTTACTCATCACTTCTGTCTTTCTCTTTCTAAATTTATATCACTGAATTATACTTCTTGAATAATTTATTCGATCCCTAATCTTCTCCATAACCGCTAATGTTTTTACGATCTCTATTACAATGAGGTTTGAATTGACAATTGCCTCTGTGTGCTGTGGTATGGCGACATGAACTTCTGAACGTATGTACGACATTCTACGTTGTAACTGACTAACTTATTGACCTCTGAATGGTAGGTTAGTCAAGGCTTGGCTTTTGGTTGTCGAAAACATAGTATGTCTTATGATTTAGCTGCTTTTCCAGGTATTTATAAACTTTAGCGGATAACAGTTATTCATCAGTTTCAGTTAAGAGCTTCACGTTTCGCTCAATAGTATCGCTGATGCAAATACAATTGGTCCAAGTGAATAAGCACTCGATTAATCCAAGTTTGCACTGGACTGAACAATGACTTCCTATGTTGGCTTCCCATATGCAGAACGTTTGATGCAACAATCGTCTCTCCTACTAATTAGTATGTCTTGAAAAGGGAGCCGGTTATCCATCTCTTCTCCGCATGTAAGACTAACATGTTGAGATCCTTTAACAAAAGGTTCACATTTATCACTTATGACTATCACATCATCCACGTACTGCTTATACGAACACATTTTTGAATAGAGTTTTCAGCTAGATTTTCCACACGTCGTCAGACAATGGTCCGAAAGAACTACCTATAACTACAGCTTCAATCTGTCGAAAATGCTCCTCTAAATAAGTGGATTTCACACTGTCAATAAATGACAATATAAATCTTAGAGGTTGTAAAAGAAATGATAGTGGAATGCTATTTAATGAAATTTAGTCACAACAAGTATCAATAGTTTTCCTAAGAAGTACATCTGTAAATAAATAAATATTTGAATACCTGAAAACTGCTAAATCCATATGAAAATCATTAGTTGACAAGGCATAAACAAATATCAACAAAAAAGTTAACGGTGGTTCGGAAAAATATGACAACATACTTTTGCTGTAATCAGAATACACACGAGATCTTGCAGATGCTAAAAGACGGTCAGCTTGATCCATCAAAAACCAACTCGGACAACCTCTTATAGCAGCTCTCCTTGAATTTATTTCACTCTTTTGAGTCACGCCTAAACTTGATAAAGCTGCTTGACGTAAACCTTCCATATTTGTTAAAAAGTTGACAGCATCACCTTCAATTAAAAGTCGTAGCAAACGCCTCAGGTTGGCAATATCTCCGATAAGACGTCGACTGGCCGAACTGAGCTGATTCCACAAAGGATCAACGTATAACGAGATCTTATTTGATTGGATAAAAAGAAAGAAATATAGGTAGCTGACAGATGGTTTTTTTAATTTTTTAGGCACAGAATTACATGTTGAAAATGGAGCTGTGACAATGAAACAACAAGATTTTGTAAGCTTAGTTTACGAAAAATTGCCATTATTAATAATCAACGATCACCTTTAAGAATTACTTGACTTATGATCCAAAGAGTCTTTCGCCAAACAGATATATCTGATCTAACATAATGTGATCGAGTCGCAAGCTTCTGAATTTACTTTAATACTGTACGTTGATTTGTCCACTGTTTGACTTCAACTCACTTGAAAGTGATTGGCTACTGAGATTTTATTACCACTATGGAAAAGTCAGTTTGACTGTCGTGACTGTTTTACAAAATGAATAACTACTCATAGTTTGGTAAAGAGAATTTAGATCTCGATACCATTGTTCAGACCAAACTTGATCATAGAAATGATTGGATTATTTATAACAGTAAGCAATGATGTACTATTAGAAAGACTGAGAGTCGCAAAAAAACATTACTAAGTAACGCAGGACTCAATGCTATACCTATGGTTGGAAGAGCTATAGGAAATCTGAAGCGAGGGAGAGCAGCAGGACCTGACGGGTTTACCCCTGGGATCCAGTTTTAGCAGTCAGATTGACTAAGAACATAATCCTATATGACTGATGTCAGTCACTGATAATCGCAATTTATAAGAAACGACAAGTCCTCTTGTGACAATCACAGAGGAATCGGTCTAACTAATATAGTTTCTAAAAAATAGGCTTCAATAATCAATCCTCCAACGCTTGACAAAAGCTCGTGAAAATCAGACTGGAGAAAACCGGGCTGGTTTCTAATCTGGACGTGGTTGTTTAGACCACATCTTCATACTACATCAGGTCCCAGAACAAAGACAAACATTTAGGCATCCGAAAATAGTTGTCTTCCGTGACCTTAGGGCGACATTAAACTCTGTTGATCCTGAGGTTTTGTAGCAGTGTCTGTCATTGAAATGTGTACCAAAGAAGTACAATAACCGCATACAAGCTCTCTACTCGAACACCACTGGTCGAATTAGAGCTTACGGCGAACTGTCATCGGAATTATTTACTTCAAGTGGTGTCCATCAGGGATGTCCACTTTCCCCATTCTTGTCTAGATTTGTTATAGACATGCTTTTACAGACAACATTACCTTCATCTGACTTTTCAGCAGTGAACTTTCTACCAGGAGATCCACTGGTTGACATAGTTCTACTTGGTGAAGACACTGACAAAATGCAGTGTCTCTTGACTTCCCTAAGCAACAATTCAAGTATGTTCGGGATACGATTCTACCCCTCGAAATGCAAATTGTTGCTTCAAGATTGGCTTGCATCGGCACCTGAACTAGTTAGTGATAGAGGGTGAATCAGTTGAGCGTGTTGACCGCTTCACTTATCTCAGCAATCTCATCAATGCTGAGGGCCTGATGGCCGACAAAATCTCAGCACGGATACAGAAGGCTCGATCGGTTTTTATCAACTTGCGTCACTTGTGATGTAGCAGAGATATCCGTTTGCTAACGAAACGAGTCTACTGCGAAGTAGTTCTCTCCGTCATGCTTTATGGTTGTGGAACATGGCCGTTTAGAGTAGAGGTTTTCCGTAGGTTACTAGTCTTCGATCATCGGTGTCTCCAAAGCATTGCTCGAGTATCATGGGACAACCGAGTAAGCAATGCTATCGTTAGGAAACGAGTTCTAGGTAAGGATAGCGGATCAGTAGATGGAGTATTGAAAGTTAGGGGTGGCCAAACCGAAACATGGCACAAATCCATGAAGTCACTGACAAGTGGACTGAGTCATGTTGGTAGGCAGGCTACCTGGTTTGGGCCCGCAAGATGATAGTAATCGATTATTAGAGACCCTGAGTGACATGGCACAAAATCATTTGAAATAGATTCTGAATTCGTCATCACCTCTACCTTTCCCTTTCTAAAGTTATCTCACTGAACTATACTTCTTGAATAATATCATGGAACTCTAATCTTCTCGATTACCAGTAATACTTCTACTGCTTTACCACTATGGGATTTGAACTGACGATTGCGCTGAATCATAAACCAGTAGAATAAAATTTAGAACTAATGTAATTAACATGTCGCATAAGGTCCTCAAAGCACCCACTCACTTTGATCTGATATTTCACAGGTATCCACTAGTTTTCTAGACTCACTTAAGAATTTAAAAAGCGGTAATTTACTTCAAATATCCACGAAATGTTGACTGCATAGTTCTAAAGACCACACTTAGAAAATTTGAAATATATAAAACAACGGACTATTTACGACTTACAAGATTGTCGAAATTCGGTAACAAAGCTTTTTCTAAGGTAAGATCATCCGTACTTAGTGTTGGGTTTTGATCGCATAATTCTTTTAATGACGCCTTCATAAGATCAAGTATACACGACTGACAAATAACCATTTCTGAAGTCAACTTTACCTGATAAAACAAAAATTACGTACGAAAATTAACTAATAAATTCCTACAGATGATAAAACAACTGTAATTACAAGACAAATACAATGTAAAATCTCCGAAGTCAAAGTTTATCAATAATTAGACCACAAAGATACTACCAAAATGCACAAATACACTGATTCATTTAATTTACAAATGGAATTGCTAGTGTGCATACGTTCGCACTACAAAATTTTACAATAATATTTATAGTACAAAATCTTACGCGAACTTCTTCCACATCAGGTTGGTTTTCGTTTAGACAAGAAACAACCTGCAGGTTGAATCTTGGCCAAAGAACAAGCTTTGTAATACCCAGTTGCAACATAATCCTTTCTGCATGATTGTAGCCAGAGGTCAAAGATAACGAATTGTCACTGAAAGCCTTGATAAACAACTGAGGGTTGCGTTCTCTGAGGAGCTGAATAGCGAAACTATCTTGACATGCCTCATGCAATTCATGTGCCCGAAGAATTAAGACACCGGAAACCAAAGAAGCAGGCATTCTTTCCATCAGTAAATCCACAACTAATATGCGAGAACTGACAAATACCACACCACCTCGCTTGTAAATTGCCTCACGCTCCTTATTATTTACCTCAGCAGTAATAATCCCAGGAGACTGAATTATTCCATTCTTTTTCAGTATACCTGTTAAAAAACGAGCTTCCGGAAGACGATAGTTCGAAACAAGCACTAAGTTGTGAGGATCTGAATGTAATCTAATTGTATTATAAATAATTGCATCCATTCCCAAACCATCAGCAAGCACTAACAATGAGCTCTCGTGGTGAATGTCGACGAGAATAGAAGCCTCGTACTCAAGCAGTTCATACATTAATGACTAAAATAAAACAAAGATAAGTTATTGAAATAACAACTATTTCTTTAAAAAGTTTTATTGTATGCATCATAAAAAGCAGTGTGTAATTCTTATTAGTCTAAATAGTCTACACTTATATGAGCATAGAGGAGAAACACAAACAAAAAGAAACTAAAAAAAATAAGGTAGTGAGCCAACGAGTAATAACCAAGCGAGAAAAGTAAAGGAAATTTTAACACAGAATAAAAATTAATGAATTTACAGATATTTGATATTCACAGGAAGACAGAAATTGAATCCATATCAAACATGACCACTTAATATGCGTTTCTTGTAAATATAGTTAGTCAGCTTGGCTTCAGTCATTACTTGGACTGGTGGTTAGTTCCTCACACAATGACGCATTGTGCTAATGTAGATATTCCTTCTTTGTGCCTCAACTCTAACTACTATTGCAGGTCAGGGTATATGAAGGTCCAGGATGTAAATATCTTAACTGAGTGAGTAGTGTAAGGAATTACAAATACTCAGGGTTTGATCCATAAGATGATAGCAAACATTAGTTAAGGACCCGAAGTCACGTGTTTTCATATCAACTGGATGGATGCGAATCCACTTGCATTCTGTTATGGCAGAACGGAGATTGAAGGGACGGTAACTCTCAGGATTAATTTATGGACCATTATTACATATAACCTCATTGTAACTAGATGATTATTTACATATATATGCCCCCAAATGCCCTGGGTATGGTCAAGAGTGACGACAGTCTGCTCTCTCCCGAAATACTCTCACATGACTACACGTATACAGCCACCGGTAGGCAAGGCCTACTCATTACCTTTTCGTGGTGATGTTCTTTACAAAATCAAGGGCGAAAAACAAATATCCGGAGCCTAAACCAAGTTGGTCAGTACGCAGAACCGACCTAGGTGAGTTGGAAAAACCAGATTACAAACCAATGTTGCACTTGAGCTTCAGGATCCTTTCTAGTTTCACTCTAAGACCCAGGTGAAAGGCCTCACCAAAGCTTATACTGAGGTTCATTAAAATTACATTAAAAATATATTTATCCTTTGCTGGAATAGCTGCTACCATAACGTGGTGATCGAGATTACCTATCGTGATGATCCAACCAGACTATACTGATCAGAATAGACGTTCCCTTAGGTCCTACCATGCCAGGCAGGTTGAGTGGAGAATGGTAAGACCAAATGCAGCAAATTAAAGTCTGAGAGCGAATTCGAGCAGCTGGCTGCAGAGGGGTGTGACGGCAGTAGTGTTTCCTTCGGAAAACCAGCGCCTGTATTGATGCTGCTTTCTATTAACAGACGGAAGAAGTTAGAAAAGGTAGACCCTAAAAATGTCACCCCACGGATTTTCGTCTCCGGCAATAGGGCCTTTTGAAGAGCGGAACTACCACTTTGAAAACTCCCCATAAAAATACCAAGCGCGAAAGACCCCAAGTGGTTATCCCTTGGGCTTTGCGGTCACACTCCCATGTCGCTAAGACCAACGCTAACGCAGCTTCCTTTCTAGGTTCCTTAGGGAGAAATACGCTTTCACGGTGCAGATAAGTGGGAAGTGACATCCACATTCACACCCCTAAGGACAAACGAGATCAACTAGTTCATGATCAAATCCTTCTCTAGCCTCTTAATAACTTCCTTATCCACACGACTAACCCTTTTCTTGTACTTTTATCAACTGGCACCGCTAATGTTAACAATTTAAGCACACGAAATGTCATTCCCGGCTTCCTGAAACTCCGCTCTAAGCTGCAATACTTATTTTTACTTACTTACACCTGTTACCCCTAATGGAGCATAAGCCGCCAACCAGCGAATTATTTTTCTGGTTAGTGTGTTTTTAGCAAATTGTATTTCCGCTGGATGAGGTCACTAACCCCATGCCCAACTCTCATCCTTTATCTGGGCTTTGAACCGGCGGTAACCCTAAAAGGGCTCCATGAGGAGTCGCTCTAAACTATATATTAGGGTTTTTAATGTTCGTACCTTGTTCCAAATAGAACAACAGGCGTCCTTAGCTAGGACTTTAGAATCTCGCCCCATAGATGTATTCTGCGTCTCCAAAACGCGCATACAGAATCTGAGTACAGACATTTATTTGATCTCAACTTGCCAACATTGTGACTTACACTCCGCGTATCTAAAAGCTGGTGACTTCATTGATCGAGTACGTTTAGATTCATATTATGCTTTAGTACCTATTCGCCTGCGGTTTAATGAAGCACAGCAAGTCCCTCAGAGTTCTACTTAACGATAAAAAAAGCCAAGAGTACATTTCGAGAGCAACTAGAAAAACAGTTAGAGGGACATGTAAGTAATGCCTTCCCCAATGTTGTGGAAACAGCAGTGATATCTGCCAGTAAGTTAAGCCAAAAGGTACGGGAGCAGCAATGAATTTCAGTAGTATCTACTGAACTGATAGATGCTTGGAAACTCATCCCATCTGGCTCTGAACACGGTGAGCAGAGGTGGCTGCTTAAACACAGTCTGATAAAATGCCTAAGCAGTGATCACGAACAGTGGTGGATAGCGAAAGAAAAAGGGTTGTAAAAAGCAGCGGCGATAGGTCACAGTAGACAACTATTCCGACTTATCAGAGGAACAGGTACTAGGAATCTGAATGTTAGCAAGACTCTCTTGGAAAATTATGAGACTATAATTCTCAATCCAAGAGATTTGATCGATGGGCAGAACATTTTATGGACAGCTCAACTGACCTTCAGTTACCTACCATTTCTATTCAACCTGAATAGTAAGTCCCCTAACTTTAAGAGGTTGAAAGGCTTTAGGCAATCTAAGGTGAGGGAGAACAGCAGGTCCCGATGGATTGTCCCTTGAAATCTTTAAAGATAGTGGTCCACTTTTAGCAGTTAGGTTGACAGATCTGAGATAGAATTTGTGAACTGGACGTAACTACATCTGACAGGTCTCAATCACTGTAAGACAATCGTAACCGGTGGTTACAGACTCTGGATGACATGGCTCAAAATCGCTTGCACTTAATATCCTCTCAAATTCTCAAGACCTGTTTTCTCCTTTTGAATTTATCCCACTGAGGTATACTTCTCAAAATTTTTTATTACGGCTAGTACTGCTATTATCACTGCCACTACGAGGAAAATCCATCTATCTGTTTTAATGTGGTATGGACACTTGAATTGATGTACGTACGTAACAAGTTCTTTGTTGGCTGTTGACTAACTGAATCTTATCCTAAACCCAGGTTAGTTAAGCGTGAATAAGTTAGTAAGCGTGACAGAATACTAGCCCATTTTTCCGCTGATTTAACTTGTAAAGTTAACCAGGTGGTAGTTATTGCTAAGAATAAATAACCGTACGCATCCGGTAAGAGTTCTCTTTTTCAATCAATTAAATTTGCTTTTATTTTGTAAATTATGAAAACGTAAGCCTTCCCTTCTATCTTAAATTATCTCATCGGATTCTTAACTGCATTTATTCGGTTGGAAAGCAGTAAATACATATGAACAATTTAAGATTCTCCGAATAGAACGTAAGATTAGGTAAAATATCCGAAATTCCATAAAGAAGATATGGTTAAATTTAGCTCACATGTGATTTGCGTACTGACGACCTTGAGCGAACGAATCAGAATTATATAACCCATCATGCGCGACATTTAAAGTGGGTTAACCGGTTGTGTACGGAATATAGAAGAATTCGCCTAGCAAACTTCCGCATCTAGTGGCAATGCCTCTGAGTAATGTACCTCAGGTACATTCAAAGGGTGAAACAAAAAAGTTTGTAATATGACTAATGAAATACTGTGAAGTGTGAACCAAAAAAATATAAAGTTCCTTAATTTCGGAGGTCTGTGGTTGCTGTTTCGATGTTGGGTGGCTTCAGCTCGCGTCTGGTCGATTCTAGAGTTGTTCCAAGTGCTCTATCCACCAATATCGCTGTTCTTCAATGTCCGTGATTACTCCAACTTTTTTGTTTTGTTTGGTTATTCTGGTTTATGATGGTTTCCAGCGAGGTTCTTTGTTGTATCGTACAATTGTCTCCATGTTTCCTTCTCTTGCAGCCTTTACCTCGGTCACTGCTAGGATCTTCCACTCATTCGCGTTTGTCGGCTCTGATGCTCCTCTTCATTTGCTTGCTTCTGTGTATTCAGCTTGTGCGTTGGCTTTCTCTGCTCTTGTTCGGCTGATGTTGATTTCTGTCTTCTTGTTTCTCCTCTCTCAAGTTTTCTGAGGAGTACCAACAAAGATCTCATGACCCAGAAACTCCTGACATGTTGAAGCGATCGCCTCCTTGGTCCCTTTCCAATTGTTCTCCATGGTTGTTTCCTCTCCATTGAGTAGATCGTGCAAGGCCTGTAACCTATTGGTGAGGGCTATATTGAGTGCGTTGAGTTTTACGGTGTCCTGAGGAAAGGCCGTATTAAACATTTGTAATGTGCTTCTTGAGTTTCAGTTTCATTTTAGAGACCAGCAAGTGATGATTTGAGGCTAAGTCAGTTCCTCTCTTGGTTCTCATGTCCTGCATGATCCTTCTGAAGTTTTTATTGAGTGGATTTGGTCCTGAGTAGTGATTAGAGCGGGGAGGTGGGGGGAGGTGTGAAATTAGTGTGGTTTGTAGAGGAGCTTGG